AGAACGGGAGATATAGAAATGTCCCTTTTTTTCCGCAGTGTACTTTGCCTTCGTATAATCCTGAAGTTGACTTCAAAATTATTTGGCAGTGTATATGTTTTACCATCAGTGTGCAGAAATAGGAGAAGACACACTTAATAAATTTGTGGAAATAGTCAGAAAAATTATCTGGGAGGAGTTTAAAATTTCTATTAAGAGCATTGAATAAATTTCCATACTTTTTTAAAATTATTTTCATTTTTGCTGTGCTTTTTGTCAAAAATGAATATTTTCCATTTTTACAAACGGTAAGTGCGTTTTCTTTTACATTTTTTAATTATTTAAAAGATCATTTTAATTATTTAATTATTTGTATTTTTTGTTATTATTATTTTAATTAGTTAAAATTTTATTGTTTTTATTTTAATTTTTTATATTTTTTGTTTACATTTTGGAAAAAAGTTTGGCGAGAAACTTTTCGCCAACTAGACACGTATATCACACATCAGTTCCCAACTTAAAATTAGTATTAATTATACTATCGACGAACTAGGTTCAACTGAAATTCTGAATATGAAAGAATAAATCTGCAAACAGGAATTTCTGTTATATCTCAAAGACATAGTATTGATTATATCACATGAAGAAAGACTGCGAGAAAGATAAAAGAAGGCATCAGAAGCTACTGAAAAACTGAAAATGAATTTGAAACAACGTAAATTTATGTCTCTAAGTTTTGCATAGATTTTCAAACGCTAATATGCACTGTCGTGGAAGGAGGGCCACTTTGTGCAAAAGGTTGCTCTCCTTCCGCAATACTAATAACAACCATACTTAGAGATAACAGCTAAACGGAATCCATGTTAAGCAGCCAAACAACATGTAAGTAGTCTGTGTTGCATACAAGAAAAGAAGATATTCCGACAAATTACGGCTCGTCGTTTAAAACACACATTGCTATCTGCTCGAAGACTGATCGTTGTGGAGCGCCGGATCCACAGAAGACGTCTGTATCGGCTTCAAATACGTTGAAACTAGACCGTGCACCATGGAGCTACAGTCTTGTTTTCCGATGATAGCCAATTTAACCTTCAATCAGTTTCCAGATGTCTGTTCTCCTGACGAGAAAGATAAATCTGTCAGCAGAAAAGTCAACTAGAAAGGTACTATAATGATGTGGAGAAGTATCATGACCTAATGGACATATTAAGTTGCAGGTATTCGAGAATGGCTTCCTGAGAAGTGAGCAATATTTTGCAAAAGTTATTGAATGCTCTGTTCTCTAGTGTCATTGTTGAAGCATCTCTTTTTGTAGACGTTAATGGGAGGTTTTATTGAATCAGAGCAACAAAGATTCTCTGAGTGAGGATATCACTCGACTCTACTGATATGCCCACTGCCCAGACTTCAACCCCATTCATTTCGATATAATGACAGACGGTATGTACACTGTGAAAAAAAAATCTGAAATGTTTCAGATTTTAAATTACTCCCAAAGGGGCGTTTTTTTAACGTTCTGTGTGTTACCTTTATTTATTAAATATCATGCTTTTTGCACTTAAACCATAAAATTTAGTTCACTAGCAATGTCACAAAATAATTTTAAAATGAGCATATCTTTAGAATTTCCGATACACAGTTCGACGCACTGGAGATAAAAAGGTTTTTTTTTCCTCCGTAGAGTGTTGCCATTGCTCGCTTTTAAATCGTTGAGATTTTTACTCAAAAATTCGTTAAAGTTTTACAAAATATGAAATCGATAATAAAGCAAACTCCAAATTTCAAATTTGGGATTTCAGATGCTCATATTCGCAGTAGAATTACGTCATTCAAAACTAGATCGCTCTAGATACCGTCGTTTTATTACAATGCGAGAAATATACATACATTTATGCAGATTTTTCATTATTTAATTTCTTCAAATATAATGCAGGACTCTAACATTTTGTTTCAAAAGAATGTTATTTAATTTCTATATCTATTATTCATTATTTAATTTCTATATCTATTATTCATTATGTAATTTCTATATCTCCCATTCTACAGTTTGAAAAGTGAACCGACATTTACAGGAGTCCGACACAACTCCCGTTCTACTGGACCGATTGACGAAATTCAACTTGCGTTTTTCATGTCTCGAAAGCACGACTTAAGATATGTATTAGATTTATATATAGCATTGTTCTAATGTAGGTACTTCAAATTGTTCTAATTAATAATTGTTCAAGCATTGTTCTAATGTAGGACACAAAATCGGACTTTTTCTGAAATAATATACCGATTGTTTTTCATATTTCAATTCTACGACTCAAATTACGTCAAACTACCAAGTTTTGCGAAATTCGTACAAGTAGTTTGTAAAAAATTAGCTCTCAAAATTTTAGATCCTCAATTTTAATTGAGTTTGGTGCATATTTATTAATCTCTCTTTTTTTATTAAACTTATTTGATTCTTCCTTTCACACTTCGAAATTTAGGTTCATTCGAAATAAAATTCATCCATTTTTATGGTTTATTTTTAAAATTTGTATTTCTGAATAATTTTTCTTAAATTTTCAAAACATTTTTTATTTATAATCTATAAAATTTTTACCATCATCATAAAGTAGACATATTTCTAAGCATACCTGGAAAAAATTACAGTTTTGTATTCAAAATTTCCGGATATATGTTAATTTATATATTGGCGCGTTTTGAAATTTGGCATATTTGTTGAGAGCGAAAAAACATGAAATGTGGTTTAGACACTTTGTTAAAATTATTTGGAAGGAGAAACGAAGTTATTTTTTTTCCGCTCATGCACAATGTAAAAAGGTAGGAACGAGGTGCCTTTTTCTCCGCTCCGGCATAATGGAAGGGAAAGGAAAATTGGTTGCCACATATTACGAAGTTTGCCAAGTGAATTATTCATGGCGCAAACTAAAAAAAATTGAGCCAAGATAAAGTTTTGAATTTCTCAGTGAATTTCGCACCAAATTTTACAAAATTTAATATCTAAGCATAATTTGAGTCTTGAATCGAAATGTGGAAAAAATTGGTAATGTGTTTCAGAAAACATTCGATTTTGTGTCAAAATACCTATGTTAGAACAGTGCTATATATAAATCTAAGTCCAAGTCGCGCTTTCTAGACATGAAAAGAGCAATTTGAATTTTGTCATTTGACCCAGTAGAAGGGGAGATATAGAACTGTCCTTTTTTTTCCCCCGCAGCGTTTGATATTACGATATTATAGATTATACGGTATTATGGGAAGATGAACTGCAGCTCGCAATTTTTTGATGCAAAACAAACAGTTCCTAATCCATGCTTTAAAGAAGCCTCGGAAAATTTGCTCCAGAATCCCTTGGTAATAGACATGCCAAGGAGTTGCGATCGTTGCTATAACTGCGAATTCGAGATGGACATATTCCCTACTAAGAAGTCAAACTGCGCAGTTATTGGCAAGTACTTTCATCCCTCCTCCCACTATCAATTCTTTGTGTAACGTTTCTCTAAAAGATTTGCTACCACTGCTTTGTTTTCTCCGACAGGTCGTTAGTTATCTTAGGCTAGGTATCGAGAAATGAATAGCGTGAAATATCTATTTTCATTAATGTATAATAATGTTTCTCTATATATGCAAAAATGTAGCTTATCCTTACATTTTTGACATTCGTAGTATTAACAGAAACCAAAAGGGTGATTAAAAAAGTAAGAAGTAAGAAAAGTCAAAGGTAAGGAGAAAAAAAAAAAGCAAGAGGTAAGGATAAGTTCCTGTACGCGCAAATATAAATCAGATTTAAGTTCTTGCATATGTAGATTTAACTTCGATACAAATAAAGAGTCTTACGAAACATTTACGTTGTTCCATGTGATGTCAACAAGTTATATCATTCCAAGAACTGTAGATGATAGCAAAAATCAAAGTGCATGTCAGAAATTAACATCCAGAAATACATAGAAATTTAGCTTTAACTGTATTTGAAAATTTCAAATTAAAATATCAATAAACGTGTTTCAGTAAAAATAATCTAATTCAAGTTTTATACGTATATAATTTTAATTTTAAACTTTTACTCTGAAAAGACTACTTAAATCCGTTTAAAGCGGTATAGTAGTGATCTGATAAGTAATAGTGAAATGAAAGTTTAAAAGCGTTTAATGCAGCATTGCTAAAATAGACAATAAGAATTTCATGCATTCTTCTTATTTTGCTGTATATCATTGATAATGTTATGATTATAAATCCCTTATCAAAGTTATTGAAATCCACAAAAAGCATGCAAGATATTTGTGAGAATTTCTAGTCATTTAAAATTTGCGAATAGTTTCAATTGCTGCGAATTTTCTTTTCTAGGTGTATAGGACAAGAGAAATTCTTTTTATTAGCGTTATTTATCTGCAGGTTGTTGTTGCGTCTTTTTATAAATTAATCCTAGTTTCATTGGTTTTGAAAACCAAATAAACTTATAGCAACGAAAACGATATCTGTTTTGAGGATTTTATAGAAAATCTAAAATGTAGCAAAATATGAAAAAGCAAACTGATATACTCGTAGTTAATGACAGTAAAGACAATGAGGAAAAACGATTAAAGAAAATAAAGAAATTAAAAAAAATACCTGACGCTACGTATGGGGAGGAATAATTTATCGATTGAAGTGACTCAAACAATTATCAATTAAATGTTGTTTGTTAGTTAACAATTAAACATTTAATCCTATAAGAAGAAGTAAAAACCTAGAAAACTCTAAATTTTGCTTCCTGATTGAGATTTTACAATATATTTTATACCTACGAAATGTCGCTAATCGCAAAGTTATTTTATCAACTGTGAAAATAATAAAAAAATAGAGTTCTTGAAAACTCTATAGGACAATTCTATATCTTAAATTTACATTTAATGTAAATGTACCCTTTATTCTTTCTACAAATGTGAACACAATATCGTATGGAATTCTTAGTAATATATTTAAGCCCACACATCGTAGTATACTTCAATATTTTTTAAACAGTTATTTATATTAAAAAACATACTTACTATTGGCTTAGAAGTTGTACCATTAAAACCATTTTCCAGATATATAAATTTACTACTTATGCCATCAGAAACAACGAAGGTAAAATCATCAAATACACTATCTGAGTCATCGTGATAATAAGATATTTTACTTCGCTTGACATCATCCATTGAAAACTGATCCACTGATGTTGACATGCTCCCAAATTCTTTTAATACACCATGAGAAGGAGATTTCAATACATTAATAATAATACTGGAATCCTAATAAGATAAATAAATAGAAAGAAAATTTAAAACATAAGATGTAAACTCTTAATATACAAAAATATTATTAATCAGCCTATTTATACCTATAAGAGGAAATACATTTGCCAATGTTTATAAAACTACAGTTTTAGACTAATGTATCAGCATTCGTACTTAATTACGCTACTACTACACCTCAAGATAAAAGACATTTCCTTGCAATTCTGAAAAAAAAAATTCTTTCTTTAATCATCTGTTTCTGCCATTTTAGAGGAAAAACCTAAGTTACCGAAATTCAAACCAATTTAAATCAAATTGTATTATAAAATGGCTACAAGTCATCGTGTTTAATTTATAAAAGCTAAACTGAAAACATTGCTTAGTTCCCTATTTAAACCGTATTTATAAAGAAAATTTATGAAATTACATTGAAAACTCCAAGGTTAATCACAAAAAATTATTTATAACTTAAAAACACTATGAGATAATGTTTATAAAAACTAAGGTTATACGCAAAAATATACGTTATGAAAACAATTTTTACTTACTGAAGTGTCTCTGTCAAAAATATCTATTTCAAATTCAGAAATAACTTTATGAGTTCCTTCTTCAATTTGTAACGGGCTGATTTTGACAATAGGAAGGGAATTACTTGTTCTAGTTATATTTATGTAGAAAGTCTGCAGAGCCTGAATAAAACGTATATTAAATTAAGAAAGAATAAATAAAAGTTGACATTTTTTATAAAATGAAAAAAATTAATAGAAAATAACTATTAAATCAAACTTTAATAAAAATTCCTATTTAAGTCAAGTTAAATGTTAAGTTAATCTAAGTTATTATTAAAATTTCCTTTATAAGTCTAACTTAAATAGGAATTATTCAGATTTAAAAGAGTTACTAGGAATATATGACGAAAGATTATTGAAACAACAGCATTCATTTATACAGTAAAATCGCTCTTATTGGAACTCTTCTTGATCGAAATAAAAAAAATAAGGTTCTCCAATTTCTTTTCAAATTAATTTATTTATACTTCAGAAAGGGAATACGTATTTGATGATGGAAGCAAGTGATCCCAGTATAGTGAACTGTGAAATCTCTGTTAAGGAAATGCTCAATCATTCATAAACTGTAACTGTGTTTGAAAAATTCCCAGCATTCAGCAGATTTCGATATAATTCAGAAATTAATTCATTTAGAAGATTATTTTTTGATTCAGTATTATAAAGCTCTTAATTCTCAAATGATAAGTGTGACTGTGTTAACGAAAATTAGACAGAAAAATTCAGAACTAAACAAAAAAACATCTATATCATAATTTTAAGAAAATTCCTATGGAATATTGACTTATCATCGCGAATATGTACGTGTGGAAATTTCAAGAAAAATGATGGATAGAGACATCACAAGATTAATTTCAATAAGTCAGCCAAATAAACAACATATGGATAAACCAAGTCCAACGAAAACGGTATAAAAAACCTGCAGCGGTCTGAAATTAGCTGAATTATTACTGCTGATAATTATTCATTGAATCTGAATACATTATTAAAAACTTATGATGTATATTCGATTAGGAAGTTTGCTATTTTATGAAAATATGTATCAGTAACCAACCATTTATATTTTAAGAATATTCCAGAAATGGTTTTTAAAATTTGAATTTCAGTTTTGTCTTATTGCTAAGTTTGTAAAACTCATATATTTAAACTGCAGTTCCATTAATTTTCATCACGTATTTTTTCAGGCCCATCTGTAGGCCATTTTTAGTGCTTTTATATTTTTTCATGCATTAATCATACGCCGTATATTTTAATGCGACCATGGCAGCTTGATTTTCAGCAAGGAATATAAGGGAAAAAAACCCCTTATATTTTCCTTATACACTTATATGCTCGTACAAACCTTATATATATATGCCTTTATATATATCAGATATAATAAAATACGATAGATGCTTTTAAAAATAATTGGCGACCTCAAAATTAACATTCTAGATTTGGTGATATCCCCCTAAATTTATCTGTTCTCCCAAATCCGAGATATTTTGAAGTTACGTAACGCTGTTTGAAAAGGGTGACCAAAACTAATTAATAAGCAATCATAGTTTATCTCTAGAATCGCATCTACTCTGGTATAAAAAGCCCTGGCAGCATGGACCTTATAAGAGGAAGCTGTTCCTCTGGTCACAAAGGCCAAATACTTAGGAATTATTTTGAACCAAAGGCTCACATGGTCTAATCACATTAATAGTGTCTAGAGCAAAGCCATGGGCATAATATGCAGATTTCTCCCGGTCATTGGAAAATATTCAAATCTTAGCTTGCGTACAAAAAAACATATATATACCACTTGCATTCGACCGATACTTTGTTATGCTGCTCCTGCTTGGAACACGGTCACTCAAACTCAACTGCATCAATTACAAGTAGTGCAAAACAAATTTCTGCGCATTATTACTGATTCACACTATCTTATTCGCAAAAACGTTTACACAGAGACTTAAAACTTGAGACGATTCAGATTACATCAGAAGATTCTAATGATAAAATTCTTCAACAAAGCTGTGCAATGGACTTTGTTAATTATCCCAAGTCTTTAATTATGAAAATTCTTCGAGATAGAAGAGTCAGACCACTTGCAGCTCACACCTTCATGGGAGAAGATGACAACTTTTTCCTTAGATACTCAATTGATAATGTTTACACTTCCAATGCATCTGATTTTATTGAAGTTCTTCTGTAGCTTCGTTGAATAGTTGTATTTAAATTGTGTTGTATAGTTGTTTGTATGAGTTGTATTTAGCACTACTGATTGATGTTGTTTAATTGTATTTGAATTTTCATTGGAACTATGCTGTGTAGGTATCTTCTCGTATGTTGTCATTGATTCCATTGTCTTGGGTCCCCTTGGAAAGCTATGATCGCTCGTCACGTTTTGCGAACTGTCCGATTGGATTGTCTGCTCCTTTGGTACTTATCTTTTTCCCCTATCTCCGTTTTCTCATCTGAGATTTTCTCCACGTCCGGATTTATTTATATCAAGTGCCCTAGGGCTTTAATTCTGGAACCGGCAACATTGCTCCTCACAATAGCTCTGTCAATTATAGAGTCTAAGACCTTATAAGAGATAGACTAACCCAGTATGCGGGGCGCGCGTCACCGACATGCCGGCAAGAAAGAGTAGGGACGATCTGGTTTACTTTAACATTGAAACCTACGGCGTTTGTATCACATAACGCTTTTTAATTATTAAATGTGATACGTTGTATAGTGATGAGATTATGAAAGCCACAGTTGTTTCCAAATAGGATTTAATATATTTCAGTAAAGCACTTTTTGCTGCATTGCGCACATTTTTTTTACGCGTAATTCTTGTACAAACATCTTTACCTTGGTAAAACGGTAAAAACTCTAAGCACAAAAATTTTATGAACTTAATTTTGCGTAAAAATTAAATAAAATTGATAGTACGTGATGTTTTGAAATAAATAAGGTAAAATTAAAAAAGATCTGATATTTTTTTAATTTAATGAGCATTTTCAGACAGTGATTTTCAAAACTATAATAACATTACAAAACGATTATTTATTTCATTATATCATCGTTAAATTATTAACATTAAAGTGGATTATTTATATATGTAATTTATAAAATTCGGAGCATAAAATTTTCTGAACGTAATGAAGGAAAAAAAAGATAAAATAAAATCTAGAAGCACTCTTTTTTTTAAAGTTTTGTGTGTTACCTATATTTATTGAATATCATGTTCTTCGCCGGTAAACCACATACATTTGAAAACAGCATTTCTTCAGAATTTCCGCACTGGAGATAAAACTGTTATTTTCCGTACAGTGCTCGCTCTGAACTCGTTGAGTTTGTTAATCAAAAATTCGTTAAAGTTTTGCAAAATATGAAATAGATTAAAACAAATTCGAAATTCGGCCGTCCACATGCCCATGTTCGGGTGGAGGATTACATTATTCAAAATTTGATGGCTCTAGATACTGTCGTTTTTGTCACAGTGCGAGAAACGTACATGTATTCATGCAGATTATTCATTATTTAATTTCTTTACGTATAATACAGGGCGATAATATTTGATAACAACAATTTGCAAGGAGACACGGACATTTATAGCAAATCAGCGCAAAATGCCGCTTCGAAACTAACAGCCTTTCTAGGCTACCGCCCCTTTGGACTAATAAATTAAATTAACAGCAAATGAAAAAAATCTTATGCCGAACTAAAAATAAATTTTAAAAAATAATCACTATAAAATACAAGCAAAATTTATTATTACGGTTAAATACAATTTTAATATTACAATTAAATGTATAAAAATTTTAAGGAGTCAAAAGTGTTTATCATTATAAAACTTCTGAAATATAATTGAAATAAAAATTCCCTTTTAGAAATTATACTATAATATTCATCTATAATTTTAAAAAAGCAGCACAATTAGAATTTAAACAAAACTTTCAAAAATTCGTTTTTAAATATTTAGTATTTTTTACTTATTCACAGCATAAAAAACATAAAAAAATTGCAAGAGAAAATTGCTTGTTTTTGAAATTGTCTATTGTTAGTTCAGATTTAAAATATTATTTCTAAAAGAAGTAGTTACAAAATTTCCTTACAGCATAGGAAAAGCTAAAAAAATATCCAGTCCTGAAACGCATGCAGTAGCTTTAATTATTTGGAATGTTAATCATGCTTGATAAATATGGCTATATTTTTAAAATTAAAATCAATATCCAATTTCAAAATAAAAATGTGTAGAAATTCTAATTTTGAAATGAGGCGCTACAACCAGCTTTTTCTTGACAATTTTGCAGGCTTGCATAGGCAATCAATGTTAAATTTCTGCAAGTCGTCCCTATCATCGGATGTGATCAAGATGACAGCCGTCAACGCCTCAGACGAGGGAGAGAAAAACCCGTTTGGGTTAGTCTATTTCTTATAAGGTCCATGCCTGGCAGTTAATTACGTCACTTCTTCTGTTAGCTCCCACATTGCTAATATCTCCTCGCTTTGCTTCCCTGTCAAAAGTGCCTGCGTGTTAAATTTAAGAATCAATGTACACTGCGGGGGGAAAAAAAAAAAAAAAAAAAAAAAAAAAAAAGGGACAGTCCTGATATCTCCAGATCTACCCGAGCCGATTGACGAAATTCGAATTGCGTTCTTCATGTCTCTAAAGCGCGACTTAGGATATATATTAGATTTATATATAGCTCTATTCTAACATAGTTATTTTGACACGAAATCGGACTTTTTCTGAAATAACATGCTAATGTTTTTCATATTTCGATTCTACGACTCAAATTATGCCCAAATATGAAATTTTGTAAAATTTGGTGCGAAATTTACGGAGAAATTCACAAATTTATGTTGGCGCTTGTTTTCAGTTTGCGTCAAGAATAGTTCACTTGGGGAACTTCTTAATATATGGCAACCTATTTTCCTTTACAGTGAGAGGGAAAAAAATCACAACGTTCTTTCTTTCAAATAATGTTCTTTATATTATATGTTTATGTTATTATTTTAAATATTTTTTTTTTCTTTTTCGAATTTCATTTTAATTGTTTAAGTTGCATGGTTTCTTTCGAATAACTATTTTTAAAAATTTCTATTTACCCATCCGAACTGCGTAGTTTAAATATAAGGTGCATCGTTTATGTTTTTTTCAAATATTTTCCTTTATAATTTTATTTTTTTAATTGTTTGTGTTGCATTGTCTCTTCAAATTTTCTATTTATTCATTCGAATTGAGCATTTTAAATATATTTATTAATATAAATTTTCCAGGATTTTATTTTATTTATTTGAATTGAGTTTCTTTCGGAAGAATACTTTGTGTCCCAGACTACGATGCATCTGAAAACTGAATATATTAAAAGAGAAAATACAGTTAAGTACAGTTAACACGCCTTTCAATGTTCCGTTCAGGCCCACCAGCGGCCGAGCGGTAAAGTCGCTGAACATTGGTAGTTCGGTCCGAGGTTCGAATCCCGCGAACGGGCTGGTTGCATGGGCGCTTTCGTGGTTTTCCCCTTGTGTAACGTGTATACGAGTCAGTTTCCCTTAGAAAGTCCTCCACGAAAGCATCCTTCCTCTTAGGTAGATAGCCCTCGAGGCTTTGCCATAATAAAACATACACACGCACAATGTTCCGTTCAGAATAGATATATAAATAAGAAAAATGTATAACCGACATTTTAACTTAGGATGACTTGCGTATATAGCACAATGTCTCATTGCTTAATACAATTTTATCATCCTACATTTAGTTTCTTAAAATGTTATTCATATTTTAGTCAAATATTTTATTTTTGAAATCGCAAGAATCAAATATCATAGGATTAAAATTTTTAAATTAAAAAAAATTACTAAATTTTATGCAAAAATTTACTTTTTTCTTCTTAATGGCTTGCTCTTTTTCTTTAGGCATTCTGCAAGTTTGTAAAAAGCATCCAACTTTTCGAAACATTTTGGTATTTCTGACATTCATTTTAAATAAAGTTATCGCCTTCCATTTCATAAACGCCCACAAAAGGCAGAGCGGTAAAGTCGCTGAACATTGGTAGTTCGCTCCGGGTTTAGAATCCCGGCGAACGGGCTGATTGCATGGGCGTTTTCGTGGTTTTTCTCATTGTAACGTGTATGCCAGCTGGTTTCCCTTAGAAAGTTCTTCACGAAGGGATCTCTCCTTTTAAAGCAGATAGCCTGCTTTGACGTAACTTAATAATCCAATTCAATCCATTTCATAAGTACTTGGTCTGAGTCTTTATCAATCTCTAGAGGGTAAACATTAATAAGGCATGAGATGAAAGGAAAGACTGGTTTCATCAAGAGGGAAAACGTCTTTAGGTGACATCCACATACATCACTGGATAAATTCATGAATATTCAAATAATTTGACTAAGAAATCATGGGATTCTCCGTTAATGATGATAAGATGTTCTATAACGTAATTTAAATTTATACAAACATACAGTCAAAAACCAGTCGCTCTTCACTTTAATCTGCAATGATATCGTTTTTGTCTTTTCCGTTAGCACAGGATCAATTGATGCTATTTGCTGGTGTAGGGGATTAACTGTTTTCTCTTTGAACATCCAAATTCCTTGAAGTATTCTGAAAGTATATTCAAAAGCATCCAACTTTTCGAAACACCTTGGTATTTCTGAAAGCCAAATTCCACTTAAGATTTTTGCTTACTTTTCTCCTTAATTTTCTCCTTTCCTTCTACATTTATTTTCAGAGCTCATCACAAGAAAATTAAAATTTTTCGATTGTTACACTTTCATAAATTTTATATTCTTGTAATTTTTTTAAAAATATCAATTACATCAACTGCGTTTCAGTTGACGACAGCTTTTTATTTTCTAGGCATTTTAACTATAAATAAAGTTTAGTCCAAACAAAAAGCAAAGTCCAAACGATAAATATTTTAATTAAAAGATTTTTTTATTAAATGACAAAGAAATAAAACAGTCCTGCAAAGTTTATTCTGTACCACTGAGTGACCAGATTATAATTATATCGGCTACAAACAGTCTAAATCATATTAGAGATTATGTGTTTTATACAATCTATAACACGAGAGAAAATTAGCTACTTAAAACATTCTTTAGAAGAGGATTAATGTAAAATTTATACTTATATATATAATTTTTAAAGTTGGGACATGACCCAAACTATCAACGCTTAAAAACATTATGAAAATAAACATCAAACGAACTTTCTCAATTTTAGACAATTCAATTTAAATGTAGTCAAAGTAAAGTAGTAGAGACGATAACACAGCGAAGGTAAAAATTTACTCTTACAAATATTAAAAAATATAAATAAAAAAAATAATAAAAAAAATTGAATTATATCATTTATAATTTTAAAAAAAAAATAGCTTTTCATATATTATGCATCATTGAGGGGGAAAAAATTTCATATAATTAATTCTTCCTAAAAATTTATTTGAAATTTTTAAAGTTAAAAATAGCTGTGGCAATTCACTGTAACAAAAATCCATAAACCACATTTGGCGTTATTATCGCTCAAAAAAAAAAGATGCCAAATTTAAAAACGCAAAAATATGCAAATTCGTGTATATCTTAGAAAATTTTAAATAAAAAACTCTAATTGTTTGCAGGTATGCTTAGAACTACACCTACTTTAAGATGATGGTAAAAATGTTATAATTCAAAATTTGTTTCGAAAAATATATAAAAATGATTTAAAAATAGAAATTTTAAAAATAAAACACAAAAAATGGGTGAATTTTATTTGGAATGAACCTAAATTTAGAAAAAGAGAAAGTCAAAAAAGAGATATTAATAAATATATGCCAAATTCAATAAACATTGAGAAGATAAAATTTTGAGAGATAACCTTTCAAAAACTATTCGTACGATTTTTACAAAACTTGGCAGTATGGCATAATTTAGGTCGTAGAATCGAAATATGGAAAAAACGTGGTATGTTATTTCATAAAATGTCCGATTTTTGTGTCCAAATACCTATGTCAGAATAGTGCTATATATAAATCTAATATACTATAACCTAAGTCGCGCTTTCAAGACATGAAAAACGAAATTTGAATTTTTGTCAATCGCCCCAGTAGAACGGGAGATATAGAACTGTCCCATTTTTTTTTTTTTTTGCGCAGTGTAAATAACAATTGATAATATTTCATTATGATTGAATCACAGAAATGTATCGTATTTCATTACGATTGGATTAACTATCTATGAAGATGATTTTATATGTGTGAAAATAAAGACTGGAAATTGTTCAAGTTATGTTTTGCTATCTTCATCCGTAAAAGCATTCACGCTCAGCTACGATGACTGCAAGCTGATTCTTCTTGTATTGTTTCCAAAAATATGGCATATATATGCTTATTTCTAATCTCTGGCCTTTTTCTCTGTGAAAGAAATATTTCTATAAGGAGTTATCGTGCGAGTGCAGAGAAAAGAATGGATAGACTACTTTGCGTGGAAAATTATTCAAGGATTTAAGTAAGTTTGAAAATAAAGAGTATCTCAAATATAATGAACCGAATTGAAGATATTTTATTATTGGTAGGCAGGGACTTTTCTCTCTCGAGAGCTAGAAAAATACAGTAAAACTGAAAGTTCCCCAGGAGACTGGTGATCAGGAAGCAAGAATTGCTTTCATGGATGTGGGAAACAGTATTTATGCGATTTTGTGGATGATATGAAAAGGAAAATCATTTAAAATATAACTGCTAAAAATGCGTTGCTGAATACATGTGCTTTTTGTTTGATTGAACAGAATAACTCAAAACTTAGTTATTAATCAATTTATTCCATAAGAATATCTTTGAATTGAGAAAATATAAGTTTTCCGGTAACGAAAGGCATTTAATTATGGCATTTTCATTTGCGTTCTTTTACATATGTTTTATATTTCAAGAATCATCACCGGCTTCCTTTGGAATCACAAGTGAAATTTATTTGACATAGAAACTGATTGACCAGTGTAATGTCTTTAATGAAAATTTGAGCAAGTAGATGGATGAGAAAACTCTTTTTTATTATGGTGAAGGAACATTTTAGTGTTAGCTCATTTTACTTATCACAAGAAAACAATCTTTTTCGTAAAACACACCCTTAATCTGGCGTAATGAAAGTATACTCATGTGCTTACCTACAAGAAGAAAAGTTGTTGATAAGGGTCTGTATATGCTTCAGCGTCAAAAGATTTTTTAATATAAATTAAATGAAAAATTATTATGCTGGGTCCAAATTTTTGTTGACAGCTATAAATTACAGCAGTGCTTTTAGTATGGAGATGTGGAAGCCTGCTTGTGCTCCATTTCGAATATTGAAAAAGGGCATGGATGCTTATAAGATAGCGCGGGTTCGAGTCCCGGAGAAAGTATGGATATTTATAAGTCTTTGTAGGAAAGGATTTTTTAAAATACTGTTGAGCAGAGATCTCCACGAAAACCTGGTAGAAAGAGAAAAAGGAAAACCCTTAGATACGTTCTCCGAAGGGATTTTCTTTCAAAACTGGAACAAAGCTGAACAAAGTCACACTGCCACCTAGCCAACAACAGGCGAAACTTTTGTGCTCTTGGTCACGATAAAATTCACTGACTTGATCTGATATTACTGTCAGACAAGTGAGATAAGGCGCAACAACAACAGAAATGACAGGGTATTTGAATTCTATATGTCAAATTAAACAAACATTTAGTCCACGTATATATTAAATCAATAAAGCTAACAACATAAAAAATAATATTTACTAATGGAGCTTTACAATTTTAATTGAAGATTATTTTGAATATTGATGCAGGTAAAAGATATTATGATTAATAAATCTTACCGAATTCTTCCCATCAGAAACAGTGAACGTGAAACTATCGAAAGAAACGTAACTGTCAGATGAATGTACAAAGCACACATTACCATCTGCTATATCTGACATATGAAAATTTGTAATTGGAACTCCTTTTAGGTTTTTATGCTCCAAATAACCAAAATTAGGAGCAGTTGTCAGTGAGAAGAGGAGGTCCATTGATCTATTATGCTCATCTACGGCGGCTAATTTGTCAGTGGTGATACAGGAACTAGTCTTTTCGATGACAGTCAATCCAGTGTTCCTTGTAACAACTGGAGGAAATATGTCCTCTAGATAAGAAATAAATGGTATAATACCATCAAAAAAACGTAGAATGTTTAGAGTAATTATTAGAATTCTATTCCAGTTTTTAAAATTAATTCTATTCCAGAGCTGAAAATCAGCATTTTAGTACGTCAAAATCATTATAGATATATTTATACAGAATGGTTTAATTTAAGGTTACTGAAAATAACTTAACAGAGAAAATAATTAGTCAAGTCACAGTGACTGTATGAAGTAAGTAAACTGAAAAGAAAATAATTCAATATTTTCTCTTATAATAAATGCAAATGAAATTGCACTTACCTGTTACAGATATGAAAAATGACTGGTCCAGTAAAGTGTTATTCGCAGGATCATTTATATTGAATTTAAAATGATGAATTCCATCTTCGTCACCTCTGTTATGGCGATAGATAAGGCGTTGCTGATTCACGTCACTTTGATGAAAACTATAAAGTGCTGCGCTATCTTCTACTGAAAGTAATTTAAGCTTGCCATTTTTCAAGAGAAATAGTTGTCCAGCTGTTGGATCCTTTGTCAAAGTATACACCAAAAGCTCATCTGAACTGTCAATATCAGTCGCACAGAGAGTTTCATTATTAATGACACTTGAATTTCCTATGTATGAAAATATAAGAAAAACAAATTTCATTGAATCTTATGACTTTGTAAACATGTTTAATAAAAGATATTTTCAGAGTACAACTCTCTTCAAATCTCTAATGTAATCGCTGAATCCTTTAACACAGCAATTTGCAATTTTTATGCTTCTCTTAATTGCACTCTGTTATACTGAGGCACGGGGCTGCTGGAAATATATTCTTCGAAAATTCTGAAAGTATGAACTTTGCTAGAAGCAGTCAGATATTTCCGTTCCATAAGGTACATATATGGAATATAGTCGAACTGTGGTTAAGTATGTATCTTAAAAAATTTATTAGGTGTACTTGATCAAGCATTTTTTACTGAATTCTCAAGCAGCATGGAATGAAAGAAATTTGAGAAATGCATCAATATGTCATCCTGTCAGCAACGTATGGATTAATTTATAAAAGAAATAACTATTCTAAATCTTAAATTTAAATGTTTGAACTTTTATTCATTCTCGAAACAGGATATGAAGAAAGAATAGAGAAAACTTGAACGTTGCTAGAGATCAAAATGGGACTGGAGAGAAGAATGATATTCTAATAACATAATTTAAGAATTTCAGTTATTCTTTTCTTTCATTTTCTTATTTCTTTTTAATAACAACACTAACTCCGAGAGCATGAAGACTGAGGGAGACAAAAAAATACGGTTGTCTTCAGCTGAAAGTATATTAGCGTTGGTGGCTATTAAAGACTCAACAAAGGAAATACAAAATGTAAATGAAAATGCATTAAACTTGCTACAATATATTGTCATAACACAACCGCAGAAAATCATTATGCCTACCTTGTACGATCACTGAAAATCAACTAAAAAGATAGGCGAAGGTAGCAGATAATGATGTATTAGCTCTACCATAACATCTGCTCTTACGCTTTGCCCAATTGGTTACTGAATGCAACTAAAATTAGGTTTAAGTCCAGGGTTTGGCGTCTCATTTAGTAAGTGAGGCTTAACATTTTAATTCTTGTTAGACTTGTTATAAATACTGTTCTTCATTCCGAAGTTTATATTTAATTGCTTATTTCAAACCCCGAAAATAAATGACATGGTATTCGTCGTATCGTTGTTCATAAGATCAAACTTAATTGTCTTAATTTAATTCTTAGTTTAAATTTCGTGTGCTACAGATAATACATCTTCCTCGCAATAAATTAAAATTCTAGAATTCCAAGAAACTTAGTCAAATTAAATTAAAGTTTTATTACTTGTAGCTTGAAAAAAAATTATTCACTGCTTCTTGTGCGATTTAAGAAAACAAAACTCTTAAATATTTACGACACAATGAATATGTTTAATCTATGAATCTGCCTCCAAATTAAATAATTAAATAACTTCTAAATGCAAACGGTTAACGATTACCATATATAATTCACTGAAACTAATGTTGCAGGTGGGTGTTTCACGACAGAAATAACAGATTCCCTGGTATATTAGCAAGCGTTCTCTCAAGTTTCCTAAATTAAAAATTGTCTCACTATTTCAATCCCACTTAAGTTAATTTCTGATGAGGCTGACGAAAGAAATAGAGATAAGAGGGAAACACAAAAATAATCAGGCTGTTAATTAAACAACCTTACAAATAAGCGTTTAATTATAATTTACCTCTTTACTTCTTTGTACGTTTATGACTTAAGTTCAGTTCTGAAAATAACTCGCTAGAAAAATTAAAGGCAGCAGCGTCAGCAGCGAATTTAAAAAATTTGAATTAAAAGCTAGATTTCACAAAAGAGGAAAATGATAAAATCCTCCTAATAATAAAGAAATTTCGAAAGATCTATATATAATATAATATAATATTTCTATATACAATATAGTAAATCCGTTTCTTGTACCATGGATTAAATTCAATTTAGCAAACACAGTACTTTAAGCTCAATGCTCGTATTTTGCATTAACAAAACGTGTGTGGTAAGAAAGTAACTTTAGATTGGTGTAGGTTTTTAATAAAACTGTATAGATTTCGAGGGCGATCTTGGGATAAGTACTTTTTCTTCAGGAGCAAATGACATTGATCCGTCTTTTTCACAAGCAATTTGTTGCCTTTTTTGCCTAATTTTAATTTTTGCATTGGAGAGTATTCTTTCTAATTATTATAAGCATATGCTTGATAACATGAATGTTTTAATATATTACTCCTTTGATATATAAATAAACTTCCGCATTTAAATTCGATTATGTTTTATATTTACTATAAATAATACAAATATTAATGTGTCAGTTGCAGAATAGCGTAATCGAAACTCGCCGCTCTTTCCTCACATATATTACTTTTATCTAAATATATAAGATAAAAATATAAAAATAAAAATGGAATATATGCAAATATTATATACCTGGAGTTAATTCCAAACCGAGATTAAGCAATAAATAAGGAGCTTCTCTGTCTGTGGCACTGATAATAATATCAATTTCAGAAGACACAGCATGTTGCCCATCGCTTACAATAAAAGTTAACGTGTCGTTTAGGATTGATTTAGTATCTTCGTGGACGTATATTATTAATCCATTCAGTATATCCTATAAATATAAATGTGCATTGTTATGAGCTCCAGAAATAAATTTCTATCATAAGCCCATGAATATAAAAAGTAAAATAAAATAATAGTTAATTGCAAGGTTGATGAAAGAAATGGTGTCAACAGATGTTCGTAGAAATAAATGTAATGTTGTATACTAAAAATAAAAATGATACCAGTAATCTAGATTTAGATTTTTAAAATGTCAAATATATTTTTAATAAATAAAATGACGTTCATTTGATTAATCATTCTCTGATTTTATTTAAAATCGTTTGTTTTACTTTTTATATTTGTTATATCTCAGTCTTATTCATAAAGATATTTAACATAAAATTCATTTTAGCATAATAATTACTTCATCGTTTATCAGTTGTGTAAACCTGACATTTAAATTATACGAATTCAGAATAGCTAAAGCCGAAGTTTAATTTACATCAATCAAAATTAGCTAAAACTCGGTTATTAATTATTTCTTACATAACCTGAATTGTTTAATTAAAAATAGAACTCGATCTATGATTAACTGGCTTTTCAATTTGTTTATCATTAAAAAACATTTAAGTTACATGCAAGTTTTTAATGCTAAAATAATTTAATATTCATAACTTTTGTCAGTAATATAAATTTATTAATACAACAAAATTTAGAAAAAATTCAATTAATTTGTATTATAGAGTCCTATTAATTAATGACGATTAGTTATAAATAGAAATGATTAGACAGCATCTCTAATTTATATGAATTGTGTATAAAATAAAGAATCCACCAACTGCCGAACGTATTAGGCCGGTGAAGAGATAGTTCGACCCAGGTTTCAGAGAATCTCGATGAATGGGCTGGCTGCATGAGGTTTTTTTCCCCAATTATACAATCAATAGAAGCTAATTTTGCTTTGAAAGGTTTCTTAGGAAAATATATATTAAACAGAAAACCTTTCTGCGCTTTCTTGCATTCGATTAAACAAACAAAAAAAAAGGCCTATAACTTCAGTCATTATAGTATTCCGTTTAATTACGAATTTTATTAGTAATTATAAATTTTATTGATTTAATTTCCATGAAGAAAAAGAAGAGGCATATTTAAAAAATGTCAGTGGCATTTATTTTGTTAGTTTATGTCGATTACGATTAGGATTGGTTTATTTTAATTATAGCAGAGCACACTAAAGCTTAAAACCATAAAAAACCAGTGCAAGCAGCCTTTCTTCTATCCGGAACTGAGCCTGGGACGAATTACAAGTGCTCAGCAACTTTAGCCTTTCAATCATTGACCGGTCTTATTTGTCTTGTACTGCAAAACTATGATAACACGGGCAATAGGTATGATCGTTGAATTCGCCGATGTTATTACTTCGATAATGAGATTTCCTCTCATGTAAGATCTTTAGATTGTATTCAACAGTAATTCAAGGGCGATTTTATTTTTTGATCTGTAAAAATTATTTGAAGTAAAATGTCTGTTAATTACCCTATCCTTTCTCCTTTCAGGTGTTTCCCTTGTCTTTAAGCTAGACACAAAATATAAGTAAAATTCTTTATTGCAGTGAATACTCAAAGCCTATTTATCTTAGGAAAACTATCTTCGCGAAAGGCTTTGTAAGGAACACGTATTCACATTCAAGTAATAAACTGCTAGCCATCCAAAATGAAACATCGTAAACGAAGCATCCAAATAGCATGAAACTTGCATTATATGAGTATGACGATGGACTATGCGAAAGATTACGATTTCAGCGCATGCGCACATCATGGGCGACTGCATTGCTCCTTATAATCCATATATAAAGGGAGGAAAATTCGCCCAAATATGCAATTTTCCTATTTCTGCTCACTAATTAGATATTTTTCTGATATGGACTGATATGGAGGTACATGCTTTTGAACCATAGGCACTCCGTAACTTATAATCATTGGCATTGATCTTTTGTATAACGTGAATTGTTTTCTCACGAGATTTTTTGTGTTTTCAGCCTCAGAGAAAGACACGAGCATAATTCGAGCATGTTTCTGAGTTCGACTGACGAAAAATCGTTGCACACAGAGATTGCGAATTATTTTACCGGGAAATCGGTTATCGCGTCGGACGTAGCCAATCAACAGTCATGCGAATATGGAATCGGTGAATGCAGGAAGAAACGACTGACGAACTGGAGCAATTGCAATCGCTCGACACACCACTTCACGGGAAAACAGGCTTATTGGGCCCGTGACAATAATGAGGCGCACTGACAAATTGGCACCCATATTTTAACGAATTTATTCTGAAGATAACCATCGGTGTCTGCGCGAACGATTCGAAGTCGTTTACATCAGAACAGACCATCCGCTAGGCATAAATTGCTTCGTTTATCTTTAACCTCACTTTAAAGCAAAGGCGTTTGCGTTTTGTGGTGCTATGAACAGCTGATATGGACATCCGAATAGAATGACACTATGTCTTCGGACGAATCACGTATCTGTCTCTAGTATCATGATGGTCGGATTAGAGTTTGGAGACGCCGTCTGGAGACGCTGTTCAACTGTTGCGTTATACATCGTCATATTGGTCCTGCACTTGATGTTACGGTGGGAGGTGGTATATACTCTTGCCTATGCAAGAGTACATATGATTGTCAAAGCATATTACGCATTATCAGTCGAAGCATATCACATTTGTCAGCTAACGTTATATCTCTGAGGTTTTGCAACCTGATTTCCTTCCTCACCTTCAGGGCTTGCCTGCCGCTACATATCAACAAGACAATACGTGACCCCACATTATCGCAATGCTCAAACTTCTTAGATCTACGGCCCATTGAAGATGTCTGTTCAATGACTGTAGAATATCTAACCCACATACCGCACGCAAAGGTAGGACCATTAAATGAACTTTGGCCGCATGAGGTGGCCGCGTGGGTTGCTGTTCCCCAATACATCATCCAAAGCCTCTTTCATTTATTGCCACTGAGTTTAGCAGCGGTTATTGACAAACGTGGAGGTAACATTAATCACTGATTTTTTCATCTTCTGCACTTCAAAGAATGCTATATTTCAAATAAATTAATATTGATACTATGTGTAATCTCTTAAATGAATTTGGCTTGATATCTCTTGTCCTTCCTCGTGAAGCATTTTGGACGTCCAACACTGCATACGAGGAAAACCATCAAAATTCCACGAAGCCAAACATCCAGTAACCGGGAGTAGAACTCAGAACGGTAACCGAAATGTATTGCTTTTATTTACACTCATGTCCATAAATTAAGGATAATGCAAAAGCAGGTAAAGGAAGAGTTAGAAGCAAATCAAAATTTGACTTATTTGTAAAGCTTATTTATTAAACAAAAGGTAAAGAGCAAAAATGATGCTATCAGGTTCTATGTTTCTTCTAATCTTTTTCGGGAACATACAAGGACCTGACTAGGAACAGAGAGCTTACTAAAGCTATGTTCACTAATTGTAGTAAGTAGACAGGATACAGACGAAGGGTATACAAAACCCTTTATTTTTCTTTATATACAATGACTTCCGTACTTCGGAATACAATGACCCTCCACTCGGGGTCTAACGTAAAAGGTATAAAAATAAAACTAAACTCTAATTTAACTTTAGAATAACACACGTGGAAGATTGGCCTTATAATAACAGGAAGCGTATGTAGCACAGAGACTGTGAACACTACAATACGTTTAATTTATCAAGAGGATTAAAAACCTCCGGCCTGGAAGGCAAATAGCAACTGCGTAACTTCTAAGGTAAGCGGCCTGCTTCGAACTCACTGCTTCCTCCTCTCTCTTGCTTGGCAAAAAGCCATAACTTAAGTACTTGGCGTTCGCCAGACAACTTTGCATAAAAACCTTCACGCTTATAATTCTGGCCGGAAGTAGAAAATAAGAAGTGATAGTAAAGATTTAAAATAAAATAAACGTTAGTAAAACTTAAGATCCTTACATACTTCCCGCCAGAGTTAATTAGTTTGAAACTGAGGTCTAAAACGACCTTGTTGAAAACTTTTAGCTCTAGAAACTAACGCGAGGCCAACCTTTTACAATCATAACTTCGTTAGAAACTAGAAAATTTAAAAGAAAGAAATTTGTTACAATAGCAGCTCCCAGGATCTACAACAATCTTTTTTTTCCATCTGTACTGCATCTAAACAGGAGCTTTATTCAATTCTGGTTCCTTCCAGAGATCTGGAAGGAAAACTAGTTTAATGAAATGTTACACAATGACATTGCAAATAACATATAGAATATACTTCTCTTAACATTCTTATTTCATTCATGACTATTTTAATTATCTCTCCCCGTGCTCTCTGACATGTGTTGTAAAAGAACACCAAACACGAATGTGTTTCTGTCTACGTGTTGCCACACTTCCTCCTACAATCAAAACACTAACGTGTTAAAATTCAACATAACGAGACCTCTTAACACACCCTAATTTCAACTCTAAACCCTGAGGTACTATTCTAAAAGTGGCTAACTCTAAAGTGTAGCGTCAGAGAGCCTAACTACATCATTCAACCTTTAACCACATATTCGCCATGATTTAATCTTTTTACAGTCACACGAATAAAAAAAAAATTTTTAACATTACTTTCACTTTTACCATATCACGGTATTTCTTAACATTTAAAATAACAGAACACATGTATATAAGAACATATCAACATGCCGTTAATTTTACACATTTGAAAACATACATTAGTAGTACATTGTTAACTTCTATTCTTTTCAAAGCAAGTGCCAATTCTTTCTACATTGAAATAATACTACATTTCAAAAAGTCTTTCAGACTAAAACTTCTTTCTTGCTAGAATGTTTTAAATAAAATTTATACAATAACTTTTTACAATATTTAAGTCTTTACACAACGCTATTATACATCAACTTTAGTTTTACACGCACGAGTAATTTAAAAAACATAATACGAAAATCGGTCACAACTCATTTCTCGCCCTTTTGGCGATAAAGGTAGACCTCGCATGAGGTAAAACTTCTTGAAATCTGCCACTTGC